TGATAATCTCCAAGCACATATCTGATGATTCTGTGTGGAATTTAACTACTGAGTTTCCTGGACAAAGATAAAAATATTTTTTATTATAATTGAGTCATTTTCAACTGATAATCAGATTAAAAGCATCCTTCTTATTAGTAATTTGTTTGGATTTTGTTTTGAAGTTTATATTAAAATGTCTTTAAAAAACCAGAACAAGGGCCGGGTTCTTAGCTCATTGGTTATACCATCTTGCTTACAAACACAAGGTCCCGATTTCAATCCCAAAAAAAAAAAAAAAAGAACAGAACAAACAAACATAAAAATAAATAAAATGTTAATTTTGGGTGGTATGGTTGAACCCCAAGCCTTATACATGCTGAACTAAGTCCTCAGTCCTTTTTATTTTTTTAATTTTTATTTTTTGGTACTGAGAATTAAACTGAAGACCTTGTGCTTGCCAGCCAGGCATGGTGCCACTGAACTAAATCCCCAGCCTTCAGCCCATATTTATTTATTTATTTATTTATTTGTATGGAGAATTGAGCTCAAGGCCTCACGCTTGCCAGGCAGCTGCTGTGCTGCTGAGCTACATCCCTGGCAATCCGATTTATTTTTGAAGGTCTTTCCCACTGTCTCGATGAGGTGGTATTGAGAGGCCCTGTATTGTTACGTAGAGGTAGGCAGCATTGACCTAGTGAGTTCAGTGGATTTTAAAGCTTACGAAATAATGCATTTGCTAAAACTGGCTGATGGATGATAGAGATTGTGTAGCCAAAGAGGGAGAGCAGCATCTGGGTAAACTAATAGTAAAAGAGAGTCACAGACTAAGAAAGTATTGTTTTTCTTTGTCACTCATATTTGTTATTTACTTCTGTTTCTTTTGTTTAAAAGAAGTGATGTCTGGGTATGGTGAGGCACCTCTCTGATCCCAGTACTTGAACAGCAGGAGGATTGCTGTGAGTTGGAGGCCAGACTGGACTACATAGTGAGTTCAAGGCTAGCCTGAACTATATAGCAAAACCCTGTCTCAGAAAGCCAAAAATAAATAAATAAATTTTAAAAATGTCAGTGTATGTGTGAGGGGGTACTAGGGATTGAACCTAGGGTCTTTGCACTGAGCTACATCCCCAGGTGCCCCCCCCCATATTTTATTTTGAGATAGGATTTCATTAAGTCACTTATTTGCCCAGGCTGGGGTCAGACTTTTGATCCTTTTGCCTCAGCCTTCCAGAGTGCTGGAATTACAGCACGCACCACCATATTCTGCTAAAAAAGTGTTATTTGCAAATTTACGGGATCACTTGAAAAAATATTGTTCAAATCCATAGCAAATATTTCTCTTACCCTTTATGTCAGAATCAAGAAGGATTGCTTAATTTAGTCAGTTCTTTTTTTTTAAAATATTTTTTTAATTTAGTCAGTTCTTACTGCATAGTTATACTTTTAAGTAGTATTTTTAAGGTGAGGGTTAGTTCAAATGTTCCAGGTTGTAAGTTTAAAAATATTTCTGAAAATAGTTGGGTGCATTTTAAAGCCTAGGGTAGAAATTTGTTTAAGGTAGAAATTGCTGAGAAATTGTTCTTTTATTTCTCTTTAAAGTCATCTGTCCTTGGCTCAGGATTTGGAGAGCTCACACCTTCAAAATTGGCAAATATCACCAGTTCCCAGGTTTTGGACCCGAAAGCTCCAAGTTTGGGCCAGTTTACTGCCACCCCAAGTTCACAGCAGAATAGTACAAGTTCCTCAACAACTACTACTTCTTGGGACCTGAAGCCCTCAGTATCCCAACCTTCAGTCCTCAGTCACTTCGGTAAGTATACATTTTTTGTGCTGGTTTGTCCCTGAGGACATGCTAAATCATTGGCAGAGTATGTTGACTTTTTTTTTCCAGTATGGGAATTGAACAACTCTTTTTATTTTAACTATTTGCATTTTTAAAAATTAGTACATATGTGCAGTACGTAATGATTATATTCCTTATGAGGAATTGGTACATGTACATAACACAGCTTAAGTCTTTTTTTTCCCCTTCCCCTTCAACACCCAACTTTTGAATACTAAAGTAGAACTTGTCCTGAGATGTTGCGGTTGTTAGATCAGTCTTCTTGGTGTTTGTTGTATAATACCTGCCTTTATTTGTTGTTAGTAGCAGCAGTAGTAGTACATGCCCGACAGATGTGCAGGAGAATGCAACTCAAACACTTTGAGTAAATTCCTAGTAAATTTTCTGAACTCTGTTAGAGTAAAGTTGTGACAGAAGGTGGAATGTTGACATTTTAAATAATCCATCCTCCATGGGGCTGGGGAGCTCAATGGAAGAGTGCCTAGCATGTGCAAGGCCCTGGGCTTTATTCCTAGTACTGCAAAACACTCTTTGTGATGTTTTCCCATTCTGACAATTTGCATATATCTACCATGATTAGATTAAGTCTTACTTTCTGTGTTTCATATTGTGAAGGCAACATTTTTTTTTTTGGTACCGGGGCTCAAACTTGGGTCTGCACTTGCGCAGCAGGCGGCGATAAGGCATTGTTTAAAAACAAAATTCCTACAGAAATTTTATTCTTCACTACCTATGTTCACTTGCTACACTATATTAAGGGACAGCGCAGATTACTTTTTTGTTTCTTTTTTCCTTTTTTTGGTACCGGAGATAGAACTCAGGACCTTGCACTTGCCAGGCAGGTGCTGTGCTGCTGAGCTACATCCCCGGCTTCTCACTATGTATTTCAGGATGGCCTTGAAGTCACTGTGTAACCCAGGCTGGCTTTCAGTTTGCAGTGGTCCTCCTGCCTCAACCTTGAGAGTGGTGGGATTATAGGCGTGCACCACCAGGCCTAGCTAGCACAGGTCACTTTAATCATAAGAGTTGATTGTTCAGACTGATTTGTGGTTAGGAGTAATGAGAGACAGGGAAGCACATTTCTGTGCTCAGTAAAATGACGTAGCATGTTGGAAGTTCCCAGGATGATGACTGGGCTTGAAGTAATGTCTACCAAGGAAGAGCCTCAAGAGATTCCATTAGGGGTTGAATATATAGGCACTTTCTGCCTGTCATGTAACAAAAGTACAGGTTCCCTGAAGGGTAACAGATGCTGAGCCTGAACCACATTGTCTGTATAGACATTCTGGACACAGTAAACTTACCGGTTAGAGTCTTGGCCATTCTTTACCTGCACATACCACAATTCCATGTTCTCAGATGCCAGGCAAGGGGACACCTTCAAACACATCCTTCTAATAACAGTTGTAGGTCTTCTGTGTTACTTTTCCTGGGTGCAAGTAATAACAAGTGATCGTTTTTTAGGTGCAAGCATTGTTATTCCTGTATAATGAAGCCTATGTTTTTGGTATGTGCCCCTAGTGTCAAGTTCAAAATTGGATTTATGACTGGTCATGGTGCCACATGCTTACATTCTAGGTTTAAAAAAAAACCAAAACACCCAATACTGAAGAGGCTGAGGCAGGAGGAATGAATGAAAGTTTGAGGCCATCCTGGGCAATTTGGCAAGCCTTCTCTCAAAATTAAAAAAATATAAAGGACTGAGGATATAGCTCAAGGACAGAGTGCTTGCCTAGCATCCTTGAGGCTCTGGTTATAATCCTGAGACCCTAAAAAAAAGATTTACCTAAAGAGAATTTGCCACTTACGATTATAAATTGTTTATTTTGGAAGCCCACTAGCCAAAGTCTGGCTATTTTCAGTCCACAGAAGCAGAGTAGAGTAGCTGATGACAAGTAGCTTTCAGATGCTAAAGTTTACATTATCTATCCTCTTCATAGAAAAAGATTTCCCATCTCTGTCCTGTATGATAGAGATAGCATGTCAAATCATTGGTAAAGACATGGTTTATTGCAGTTGATTAACTGGTTTGAAAATAAAGTTGAATTACTGCACCAAAGTGCTAAATGAGTTAAAGTTTTTAAACATGAATAGTGCATCTAGAACCACTGTAAAAAAAAAGTAGGAGGATTTTTATATACCATGGGCAAGAGGGGAGCCTTCCTGGGAATAAAAGAAAATAACATAACCATATCACAAGGTAGGCAGACTAAAAAAAATCTTCAAATCATGCCACAGATGAAGGCATAATTTTCTTAAATAAAAAGACTAATTAAAAATAAAGATAAAAAACCTGGTTAAAAATTGCCCCCCCCCGCGCCCAAATACAAAGAGTCCATAGGAAAAAGAACACTTAAGTACATGAAATGTTGCTTAAGTTCATTTATGTCATACTTTGCTCTCTTCTCGTCCTTTCTCCCCTTGCCCCATACCTCTCCCTCTCCCCCTGGGCTCTCCTCCCTCACTCTCCCTCTCCTCCCTTCCTCTTCTCTCTTTTTTTTATAATGCCGGCGATGGAACCAAAGGCCTTTGTGTGCTCTGAGCTGTATCTTTATATCTTTTTATTTTTTACTTCTTTTTTGCTGTCTAAGGATTGAAAACAGGCCCTTGTTACGTACTGAGCAAGAGCACTACCACTGAGCAATGTCCCCAGCCATACTTTGCAGTTGTTTATACAATTTTTCTGCTGGGCATGGTGGTATACAAATTTGAGGCCAGCCTGGACTGCATAGTGAGTTCAAAGCTAACCTGGGGTGAATAGTGAAACCCTGTCTGAGAAAAAAAAATAAGTAAATAAAGGTTGTATCCTATTTATGGAAAGCAATTTTGAAGTATTTGCCAAAATTTAAAACATTTGTACCCTCTGAAACAGCTGCTGTATTCTAGCAGTTATAGTTACATTTGAGCAAAACATTATACATGTACATTCATTGTCACATTGTTCTGTTTTGTTTTGTTCTGTTTTGTTTTGTTTGTTTTTGAGACTCACTATGTAGTCCAGGCTAACTTTAAACTCACTATCCCCCTGTCTCAGCCTCCTCAGTGTTAGGATTATAGGCATACACCACCACACCCAGCTTACCACATTGTGTTCCACAGCAAGAAATAGGAAGACCTAAAAGTCTGTTAGTATAGTATTACTAGATTTCCTGATAGTCATAAAAATGAAGGAAGTGACTCTTTGTATGTTAACATGAAACAATCTCTGAAAATTAAATGTTTTTTGAGAAATCAAGGAGGGTGTGTGTGTGTGAGCATATGTGTATGCTTCTGTCTTTATGTGTTTTGGTACAATATCTATGAAGACAGCCAAGCAACTGGGAAAAGTGTTTGCCTCTGTAGAGCAAACATGAGGGTAGAACCAAGATTTATATTCATTGTACATACTTTTTTTTTTTTCCTTTCAAATTATTTTTATTTTCTTTTCTGGATGAGAATACATCTACATATGATTCTCTAGAAATGACATGCTTGACTGACAACCATGTTTTGTTGTTTAGTACTCGGTCCTACGCCTCAAAATACAGAAAGGAGTCAAAAGAGGGGAGGGCAGGGGAGAATACTTCTGTATTCCTTCACAGCACAGCATTGTACCTACTTTTGTATCTGTTAAATTTTACATTACATGCAAGTCAAAAATCTAATAAAATAATTTTTAAAAATTTAAATAGAAAACCTGTAAAGTAATAAAAACATTCTCTGTTAGCTAATGGCCAAGTGTGTAGCACTTCAGCACTATTCTTAGAGATCTCTGCTCCATAAGTGTTAAGCATAAACTGTGTGTTCTTTGTACAAGAATTAAGCTCCAAACCTACTCAGGTAACTCTTTCCAGATACCGTATTATGTATTTTAGGTATTTGCACATGTGCGTACACACACACATGGATTTCAAGTAGATAACTCAGATAACCTGATAGTAATCTGACTAACCTCTCCTGGTCAGCAGTGGTAAAGGAGGGGTTTAAGCCGTTGATGCAAATAATTGTTCCCTTTTTTTTTCTTCACATATTCATAGATTTCAAATCTCAGCCTGAGCCATCCCCCATTCTTAGCCAGTTGAGCCAACGACAGCAGCACCAGAGCCAAACAGCCAGTGTTCCTCCTCCTGGCTTGGAATCCTTTCCTTCCCAGGCAAAACACCGAGAATCAGTATCTGGAGACAGTGCTTCCACTGTGAACAAACTTTTGCGGCTTCCTAACATGGCTGTTGAAAATAGCACTGTATCTGCCCACCAACCACAACCCAAGCATATCAAACTCTCTAAGCGGCGAATACCTCCAGCTTCTAAGGTGGGCATTCCCTCATGAAGTCTCAGTCCCAAAGAATTTATTTTAACATATAGCTCTAGTAGTAGGATGCTAAATCTTAGAAACTGTGATGCAGTATTTTCAAGCACTGCTTTGTGAGGATTTGACTGTTTTTGAATGACTGGGCTAATCAGAGAGAATGGATTTGTGCTTAGAGCCAGAGATCCTTAATTCAAATACAGACCTGGCTCAAAGCGTCTTGTTTTTTTTCTGTATTCTGCCGTGTCCTGTAATTGGGAGATGAGTGGTTCCCTGACTGGGTAATGCTTTCATAATTGATGTGTCTCTGAAAATAGTTCATTGCTCACTTTCCTCCCTCATTTACCCACCAACATAACTCTGCCCCTGTCACACTAAGAAGCAGTTGGTGGCTGTAACACTAATCATTTCCTGTGATCTTTAATCTGTTTTTATTTTATGATTATGATTATTATGTTTTGATTTGGTTTTTTTGAGACACGGTCTCATTGTGTGGTCCAGTCTGGGCTTGAACTCACTCTCTAGCCCATGCTGGCCTCAAATTTTAATGATACTTCTGCCTCAGCCTCCTGAGTGCTAGGATTACAGGTGGTACACGGCTTTTCACTCTCTTTTTAATAGGTCCTGGTCCTTTTTCTTTCCTTCCTGTCTCTTACTCCTTGTTTCTGCCAGGGTAACTTAGGGAACAGAGTTGCCCATTTGACTCTGTTATAAGCTTTTGAGACATAAGAGTCCCTGGCCTCTGTTACTGATACCACGTTGCTTTTTCAGATTCCAGCTTCTGCAGTGGAAATGCCTGGTGCAGCAGATGTCACAGGATTAAATGTTCAGTTTGGGGCCCTGGAATTTGGATCAGAATCCTCTCTCTCTGAGTTTGGATCAGTTCCATGCAGTGAAAATAGTGATCAGAATCCCATCAACTTGTATTCGAAGGCTTTGAGGTACAAAACTTCCACTCTCTAGTTTCTTTCTTTGCAAAATAAAGTAGAGCTTAGGAAATCATCCTAGAGTCATGGGTTTATGCAGCTATCCACAATGTTTATATGTTTATTTAACTTTTATCTTTCCCCTCTTACGAGAAACCCCTTATCTATAGCACACACTTGCAGTTTCTTCTCCAATATCACTTGATAGCAGTAATCTATCTCAGGATTTGCTTCCCCTGAACATTTCATGTAACATGTGGTCTTCTTTGACTTAACATTAGGTTTTCAAGGATCATTTATGTTTTATGTATCCTTTTTATTTATTGCCAGACATTTCATTGTGGAGAGTTACTACATTTTGTTTGTTCGTTCATAGTTGGTACAGATTTTTGTTCATAATGAATCATATTGATAAGGACATTGAATTGGAAGTTTTGTTTGCTTTCAGTTCTTTGGATATATACTTAGGAGTAGAATTATTGGATCATATGGTAATTGGTATATTTAATTAACCATTTGAAAAACTGCCAGACTCTAGCCACAGTCACTGTAGCATTTTACTTTTCTACTCATAATCTAGAAATGATCCAATTACTCCACATCTTTGGAGCATTAATTTCCTTCACTGGAATATTTTATAAATTAAAAATCCTAGATTTAAGATTTTGTTGGTTAATTTTTCCATGTCCAGAAGCAAAATCTGGTATTTGTTTTGGGTTGCCTTTTTTTTTCTTTCTTTTTTTTTTATTAGTACATGTTTGCAGTTTACAATCATCTTGGGGAATGGGTACGTGCATATAATACAGTTTGATTCCTTTTTTAATCCCCTTCCCCTTCCTCCCACTTCCCTCCTCTCTTCCTTAAACTGACATGCTCTCCACCTCCCTGGGAACTGTTCTCTGCAAGTTATCCTCTGCCCTGGTGCCACAAAGACTCCATCTACTCCCTCATCGTGTTATCAGCAACAGCTTGGTAGCAGCTCTCAACACCCTGAAATCAGCTCTTCTCCTGGGGTGGGGTAGGATGGGAGAAATGAAGACAGGCAGAAAAGCCGGGCATGGAGGGTGCACCTGGGTTTCCTTTTTGAAACATCATGATAGGGACCTGGATTCCCTAAACCGTCTTAAGGATTCTTAAAAGATATCCCCTTGCCTGTCAGTTAAATTTGGTGGGTCTCATGGGTATGTGAGGAATTGTTGGGCTGTATTTAGTATAGTGTTAAAGGACACAGTAGTATAAATTTATAGTTACATGTTTATTGAACGTAGAATCTGGCAGTGAGTTGTTATGGTTTTATTTAAGGAAGCTATGTCAAGTCACGTCAATTTATGTCTAATACCTTTACTTTTTTTAGTGATCCTTTGAGTAACTCTCTACCACTGGGCAGTGGTGTACAGAACTCCACCTGTACAACTTCAGTCATTACCTCCTCCAGTCTGAGCAGCTCATCCCTGAGCTCCACCAGCCCTGTAACGACATCTTCCTCTTATGACCAGAGTTCTGTGCACAATAGGATCTCATACCAAAGCTCTGTGAATCCACCAGAATCAGCTGCAGGAGCCCTCACGGTAAGTGATGTTTCAGGGTTTTTTCTCTCTTAGGATATCCTACTTGGAGGTTAGTGTGTAGTTTGGTATGATATGGTTATAGGTAAGACTTTATTTTGAAACTTGGCTACCTTTTGAACAGAATCCTTATAGTTTGAGTTTGTTTATAGCAGGCATTTCTAGAACCCATGGATGTGAGTGAGTGTGGATCTATGGACACACATACTTAATGGGGAAAAAATCCAAGCCTCTAAGTATTGGCTTTAGTGCTGGATACTTCCATATGGTCTGTACCCTACCTCTGAATATTTTATTCTTTCCCCCTTACTGATTCCTTTGCTTTGACAGTATGTGATTCTGCATTACCATTAGCTATATTTGTTGTGCTGTAATTATTCTCTACTCAGCTTTTGTTACAGATAAAGAAATCAGATCTCTTTATCATATTTTGTAAGTCTTGCCCTTATAGAGGTTTGCTATCTGCATATTTGATTGTTATGGCCAATGATAGGCTTTCTCTTACATTGAAATGTACAAATATTATCCCCTGGGAATCTTAGAAGGAAACTTGGGGGTCGTTGAGAGGGAAAGGAGGGAGAGAGAAAAGGAAGAAAGGGAGGGAGGGAAGGAGGAAGCGTGAGTACCTGAATTTCTGCTAGGCTACTTCAAGTTTTTTAATTTTTATAGTACTAGAGTCTGAACCCAGGGCCTTCACACTGAACTATATCACCAATCCTTATATTTTATTTTGAGGAGTGGTCTCACTAAATTGTGTAGTCTGGGCTCAAACTTGAGATTCTCCTGACTTAGCCTCCCAAATTGCTGGGATTACAGGTGTGCGCCACCACAGTTAGACATTTTTAAGAATTATTTTAGGACTGTCTCATTGCTTTCTGTGTACTGTATTTTATTTCCCCAAACACTAAAGCTAGTTTTCAAAACTGTTAGCCCTTTGGGGATTATTAGAATTTTTTGTATTGTCTCCTTTTATTAAAAAAAAAAAAAAAAAAAGAATACTGGGTATGGTAGTACCTGCCTATAATCCCAGCACTCAGAGGGCTGAAGCAGGAGGATCACTGTGAGTTTGAGGCCAGCCTGGGCTACAAGTGAATTCAAGGCCAGCCTGAACTGCATGGTGAGAGCCTGTCTCAAGAAACAAAACAAAATAAACAAACAAACAAACAAAAAAATAGATAGGTGTTCTTCATTAGTCTGTACTTCATATGGTTGTTACTGAATCCCAATAGATAGTTACCTAGTTAATCATTTGGGAGGTAAGGTGGGATTACTTTTTCTTCTGTTTCTTATAGAATGGACATGGTGGTGGTCGAAGCCAGCAGACACTAGACAGTAAGTATATCAGCTAACTATTCTTGTCATGGCAGATGGAAAACAAATAGAGAAGGTATGGCTGACATGATGGGAAAAACACCAGTTGGCCAATGTCTGATTCTCCAAAAACAGCCCTTTGATAATTTTTTCTGAAAAGGGCTTCTGGTCCTTCACTAGTTAAGAGAAAGCAACTTCTCTTTCTGTAGCAGAATTAATGAAGGTGGCTAGAGGTTCCCGTTTGATTAGGTAATAGCTGGTAGTAGTATTAGAAACATGATAGTCACGGCAATAAGAGATACTCTCTGGTATTCTTCTGTCCTAACTAGACTGTTTGTTCAGAGACACAGATTCCATGTTGGTTAGGAGGCTGCTATACCAGTAGAGGAACTTTTTTTTTTTTGAGATGAGGTCTTTCTGTGGTGCACAGGCTAACCTCAAACAATCCTTCTGCCTCAGCCTCCTGAGTAGCTGAGGATATAGGCATCCTGCCCAGGTATGAGAGACTAATAAAGTAAAAAAAAAAAACCTGTCCTAGTTTAGGAAAGACATGGTCATTGGTTTTAGAATCAATGCTTAGGAAGAGAGGAGAGAGAAAATTTTCATTGGTGTAAATGTGTCAGAGAAAAATGCAACAGCTCAGTGATTACTGGAGGTATTATAGGTGAGTCCTTGTTAATTATTTCTTTCTTTTGTGACTCTAGTTTGATTGTGATTGGTTTTGTTTCATTGTTTAGTAAAGCAAATGGATAATCCACTGTTGGGTCTGGAAGCCTTTTTTTAAATTAAGGGTTTTTGGGGGTTTTTTTGGTACCGGGGATCAAACTCAGGACCTTATGCTTGCCAGGCAGGCACCAGAACCACTGAGCTAAATCCCCGGCCCCAAATTAAGGGTTTTTTGGGGGAGTGTGGATAAGGAATGTTAGCAAACCAGATGAACGTCCGTTGGAATTGAAATGAGAATCAGTATACTGGAATTTAGTTTCATTACTGATGATAATGCTGGGCCCCCAGGGCTGTTATGAGAAATGTTGGCAGCTCTGAGTTTATTGGATAACAGTGGAACTTCTCATGGTAGCAGCAATGGTGGCTGATTTCTTTTGTCTAGTCATGGGATTGAGATCACGTACAGAGGTCCTAGGTGGGTTGGAGATTTTAAATGAAGTAATGAGTATCTAGAAAGCACAGTATCCATTTAAAACAGGTTTTTACTTTCAATGCTCTATTTTCCATCCATTCCCACCCTCCATCTCCGTTACTGGCTGTTTGAGAGAGTAGCTTGCTGTGAGCCTGTTATCAGTGATCACCCATGGCCCAGGGAGGTACCTTTTAGGGTCTTAGTTTGAGTGTCTTCATCTGTCATTTCATGTTTAGAATAGACTGCCAATAAGGAGGAGGACTCAGGAATATAAAGGTCTCTTAAGAGTTGACCTAGTTATTGGCTGACCTGAGCTGTCCCTACCTGTGTTTATTTTCAAGTCGCCCTTCCTGTTAGGTGGCTTCTCCTTCCTGTCTGGAAAAGACAATGATGTACTTCCAAGCACATAGCTGAATTGTGTGTGTGGACAGCACTATACTGAGTCTTTTCCACAGGTAGGGGTGATTGTCCTATATCCTTTCTGAAGCCTACTAAATTTGTTAAGTGTTCTGAGATTAATCTGTTGAAGCACATCCCAATGAAATTCTCACTGCATATTTGATTGTTTTGTTGTTTTGGTACCAGCAATTGAACTTGGCCTTGTGCTTGCCAGGCAGGTGTTGTGCCACTGAGCTTCACCGCACATTTGAAAGTAGGTGTTGCACAGCAGTTGTGTATTCTTTCTCCTGAGAATAGGACTATAGATCTCTTTACAGTGTATGCACTGTGAGTTCTCAGCCCCTTGCCCTGAGCTGACTGTGAGCTTTGGCAGAATCAGCCTGGGTTGGTACTGAATGGATAGAAGCCCTCTTGGGCGATCCTGCCCATTGGCTTTTTGCTCTACCTTGCTCTGCTTTTGGAGAGAAATTTGCCTCACTTTATAATTGTGCATATCAGTTGCAGCACCTCTGTTATTTTCTGGGTGCTGTTAAGGGTCAGGTTTCTATAGGTGAAAGAATTTAAGGTTATAAAGGTGCCATTTCCTACACTTTGTCCAAATCTGCTGCACATCCAGATGTCACACATCTTTTTGGTTGTCCTGCCTGACAGAAATTGGCCACCTGGTGATGGCCAAATAATTTTCCCAGGGAATTCACCTCTGTGCTGATATGTTGTTTATATATATATATATATCTCACCTGAGCGGATATGTTACAAGATGCTCAGGATTGGTTCTAGAGCTAAACAGATTTGTTTCTTACAGCTACTTCATCCGTTCCAGCTCCAAAGACGACAGACTCTCCCTCCACCCTCCCATCTGTGGGCTCCCTGTCCAGTACCACCTCCTGCACTCCGCTTCTACCCTCTGTGTCCCAGCACACTGCTGCTTTGCCCTCCTTGTCCCAGCCCAGTGACTTGTGCAGCAGCCCCCTCTCTCAGCTTAGCAGGTATGGGGGAAATGTGGGTCCAGAGTGAGAAGGCCATTGAAAGTTCCTGTGGAAGTTTGTGCCCCAACAAAACATACTTGTTGCCTCTGCCATGACTTCTTGGGCTTTTCCATTAATAACTGAGCTTAGATTTTGGTCACATCAGGTCTCAAAAAAGCCGAATGTGAAAACATTGCCTGTTGTAATGCCTCTGGTGTCACAGAGCACTGGGTCTTCTGGGAAGCAGATGGGGCCAAGGGTTGTCTGCCACTCTTCTTGGACCTCGTCTGGTGCCCTGAGCCTACCCTGTTTCTAGCTTTGGACTCATGTCACTATCACATGGTGTGTGAATGATGTTGGATTTCTGAGTAAATGTTTGACTTAAAATTGGCATGGTTCCAGGAATCCTCTTGACCCCCTTCAGCAAAATATTTGATTTAAACTGCATCTACTGGGAATTCAGGCTTGACTCTGGCATATGGGATTGAATATAGGACCTTTCTTATCCACAGATTTTATGAGCTCTACAAGCATAGCAGTGTTCATATCACAGTCCTATTTACTCTTTTTATAGCCTAAACAGTTACAGTTTACTGACTTTGTTTCTGAAGTCTTCTAGGCCAGGATGTATCAGATCTCATCACAAGTGACCCTTTAGGTCATTTCTAACCATGACCCTGTCATGGTTCTGAGGCCATAAAGTCTGATGTGGAGGTCTGATAAGGACAAGGTCTGTCATAGCCGTTTGAGTAACTTGTTTGGGTGGACACAGGGTGCTCTGTTTTGTCTTCTAGTTCACTCTCCAGCCACCAGAGCAGCCTCTCCTCTGCACATGCTGCAGTCTCCTCCAGCACGCCACACACAGTAAGTATCCACAGAGCTTCCTCCCTGCCACCTTCCTTCATACACAGGGAGCTTTGTGATGTGCAGCTGGTGCTGAAGTTTGTTAATGTTGAAGATCTGAGATGATCTAGAGTTGTGCTTGTCTGAAGTATCTTGATTTTGTTAGGTGGCTTGAGCCACTGGTTTCCCAGGCTCTGTGGAGGACACCTTGAGAGTCCTCCTTGGAAGGACTGCCTTGGACCCAGTGTAGTATGGCAAGGAGGGCCAAATGGCAAGCTTGCTCCCAAGAATCTGTTGAACTGCTTTTTCTTTTTTTTTCTCTTTTTGGTGCCGGGGATTGAACTCCGGTCCTTGCACTTGCACAACAGGCCCCGAAACCACTGAGCTAAATCCCCAGCCCAGAACTGCTTTTTCTTTATAGAAGTTTCTCCTGTCAGCACGGAGAGTTTTGTTTTCTGGGCCTTGTTGACATTGAGATTTTGAAAGCTTTTTGGAAAAAAATACATTTGTTGCTGACTCCAGCTTGGGCTCCACTAAAAACTTTTAATCGAAAGCATGGTTCCTTGGTAACTGTTACTTTGTGCAGAAAAGTACTTGATGGACAAAGGGAGTATTTGGTGAGGAACTTCATTGTGCACCTTATGCCCTGTGCACACATCTCTCTTAGACTGATGGTTCTGGTACAGTCAACGCAGTTATATTGGATTCTGCTGATGCTCATGGGGACTTTCTAGCTGTTGCCATTAGGTGTCCTATTTGATCTGTGCCCATGTCATCTTTCTCATCTCACAGAACAGGCACTTTGAAAAACGAAGTCTGGAGGGTGGAAGGACAAAAGTGAAAGCAGAATTGTGCTGTTGAGGAAGCCAAACCAGGAGAGATTAAAAGTGGAGGTGCCAGCTAAGAGATGTCCCCATGTGTAAAGGAATAATCCTAGATTGTGTGGATTATTGATGGTGGCTTGGTGAGCTGTGATGTTGGGAGCCTGGTTTTAAGGAGTAAGGGTCAGACCAGATGGTAGTGGGGTTAAGGAATGAGTGGTAGTGAAATGGAGAGCAGGTAGTTTGTAATGGGCACTTAACGAATAGCTGGGTGAGACTGGAGCCTAGGGTTGGGTGTTGGAAAGGTACCTGGACAGAGCAGTGTTCATGCTCCTGGACCAACAGGGTTTTAGCAAGGATAAAGCAACAGGTCCCCAGCAGGGAGGATTTGGATGGAGTTGATTGGGAGAGGCATGAAATGGGTGAAATTTTTTTTTTTTTTGTACTGGGGATCGAACTCAGGACCTTGCGCTTCCGCAGCAGGCCCCAGAACCACTGAGCTAAATCCCCACCGAAATGGGTGAAATTTGTTTCCTTTGCAGAAGGAATCAGCTCAAATGTAAAGAGGTAGAAAGGGGGCAGTCCTGTCCTGTTGATATCTGTCAAGTATAGTGATTTTCAAACTCCTTTTCCAAGTGAAATCTTACACAAGATACTTTGTCACAAAACACATAGGCTTTGCTCATCAGAGTGGAGCTCTGCCCTCTGGTTGTAGCATCCATGGCTGCCTTCAATATGAGCACTGATGAGCAGCCTTGAAGCCCAAGGCATTGGAGCTGGGAGCTTTGGTCTTGCCCCTGGGGAGCTGCAAGCTCTGTGTCTCAGCGCAGAACTCCAGGTCATGGAATCCAAATTGGCACAATTAGAAATGTTCATCCAGTGAGTCCCACACTGTCAGTATGACAAAATTGTCCCATCGTTAAAATATATTTGAATGGGGGGCCGGGGATTTAGCTCAGTGGTTTTGCTGCTTGCCTCGCAAGCGCAAAGACCTGAGTTTGATCCTCGGTACCCCCCCCCAAAAAGATATACTTTAATAATTAAAAGATATAAAAAGGTGCATACTGAAAGATTTTCCTGTTTAATCTCTTGGTTCTGCCCTGAATTGCTTATTTTCTTCATAGAGCCTTATCCATAAAAAGGCAGGCATTGTGCCACAGGCCTTTAATCTCAGCACTCAAGAGCCTAGGCAGGGGGCCGGGGATTTAGCTCAGTGGTTTCTTGGCCTGCTGCACAAGCACAAGGACCCGAATTCGATCCCTGGTACCAAAAACAAAAACAAACAATAAAAAGAGTCTAGGCAGGAAGATTGTGAGTTTGAGGCCGGTCAGGGTCAGGGCTACAACGCAAGACCCTGTGTCAAAAAACAAAACAGAACAAAATCCATAAAAAAGAAAATGCATAGTCACAGTAATTGTGCCTTTGTCTTCTGTTTTCTTTCTTTTTTTCCTATCACATTAATGGGAGTCCTCTGTACACAGCCTGCCCCTGGAGTGTTGACATTTGTTCTTCTGCAGTTGAACTCTATGACTTTAGAGTATGTATTCCCTTTAGGCCCATTTTTTTCTTGATGCTAGCGTTGCATTGGATAACCTCTGCATTATATTGTTTCACATGTACAGCTATCTAGAGGGATAAAGCCCAGATGTGGAGTTGTTAGGCACATATCCTATACCAGTTGCCCTGCCTAGTGATTTTAACCTGTTCATGTCCTACTGGCAGAAAATGGAATGCCTTATTTCTCACAGGCTCCTTAAAATGGCATTTTCACATATTTGTACATTTCTATTGTGTTAAAAAAAATAGCCCTCCAATATATTATTTAACGGAATGAGATTGGACATCTTTTTATATATTTGGAAGACAATGAATTTCCTTTTCTTTGAGCTAATTATATTCTTGTTTTGTTTTTGTGTTTGGTCCTTGTTTTCTTTCTAGGCACCCCCTATACTGGGGAGACTTAGTAGCCATTTGTGATGAGAGGTGTAGATTTTGTTTTGTTTTGTTTTGAACTACGTAAGGAAACCCTGTCTCAAAAAAAAATTTTTTTAAATATGCAGATAATGTCTTTTTCCCATAGCATATCATAGTTATATATATATTTTCCATCTAGCCTTGTAAGGGAAATACCAGTGTTTTCTTGCCTCTCTGGGCCCGTCTGTGGGGAGCTGACCACCCAAGCTCCATTGGCTGGGGTGAGTGAGGCCCTTTAAATGGGGAATGAGTCAGTTCAGCCCATGGATTGGCATGCTCACAGTGCTGGGAGGTGAGGGACACAGATGAGCTCTGTTAGGGACAAAGGAATGGAGGGAGAAGGTTTCTGGATGATTTTGTTGAGTTCCTTTCAGCAAGTCAGGAACTGGTTCTCTAGCAAGCATCTTATGTATGGGAAATGTTTGGTTTTTTTCTCCAGTGAAAGTTGTATGACCAGTAACATTTGGGAGCCTTGATCAGAGCTGTTCTGAGTTCTGTGACTGGTGATGTTGGGTCGGAAGTCAGGTTTCTTATAGAGTCTGTGGCTTAGGCGCTGGGTGGGGTTGCCCCTCCTTTGCCCTCCTTCTGCTAGGGCCCTCTCCACCCTGATTCTGTGCTGAAGGACCAAGAGTCCTTGATAGCCCTAAGACAGCATGTTTTCAGATGTATTAACCTTGGTGAATTGTTGCTAGCTATTAATCTGATGGATAAGGAAAGCTGTGAGATGAGAAAATTTGAAGGTGGTCATAGTTGCCTTTATCCTGGGGCTTTCCTGTTCTTTGGCTTTCTTCCAGTAGTTTCTATCCTTCTGTATCTGCACACTTTCTCATTGGGAGACTGATGTCAGTCTTACAGAGCTTTTTCCTATCTGTTTGTCCAGGACCCCACCCCACCCCACCCCATGGTTGAAGTCCTTCATGGTGCCTTGTTACTAGAATTGTGCTGCTAGGCACTATTTCTGCAACTTAGAACAGTTTTTTGCTGTGTTTCACCTTTCTTTCCTGGGTAGATATCCTTGAGTAAGCATAGTGGCAGGGGATGCCCTTTTAGAAAGGCCCTGGTGAGGCGCTGGTAGACTGCAAGGTGTTACCAGGTTTTGGATTAAAGGACTTTCAGGTTCTACTGTGGCTTCCAGACCAGAGCAGCTAAGACTAATAGAAGGACAGGCTGACTTGGAGTGGGCTGCCTATGGCCCTGTGATCGGCTCTTCTGAGATTTACTGCTTTTCTCTGAAGTAGATTTTCATCTCATATTCAAATAGCTTTTATTTATTTATGAGCTGAAGTTTGGTGCTTCTGTGCCTTGTTTAAGATAGCAAAGCATGAACATCTTGAAGGGTTTTAAAGTGTGTTTTGGTCATAGAGCTCAGTTTTAATGGTCTTGATGAGACTTGTAAGTCCTGATGGCAGAATCTGGCTGCAGTGTGAGGGACCACAGTACCACTGCATGCAGAGCCCTACTCCTTAGAGCCCCTGGGTGCTGGCATTGTCACCTGCCTGTTCAGCCATGAGACTGCAAGCCCAAAAGGCAGGCCAGGTTCTCCCAGCCCCACCTTCTTTGCCTCCAGATCCATGTGTCCTGGCTTGTGTTTTGCTAGCATGCCAATGTGGAGACCACCCCTTCCATCCAGTCCGCGGCGACCTTCTCCACGGCAACACCCTCCTCCTCGAGTGCCCCTTTGTCAAGCATCAGCCCACCTGGTAGCATGAGCACAGTGAACACCCTCTGCCTGGGTGGGACCACTGTGAGCGCACCCAGCACCACTATCAGAGCTGCACCCTTGGTGACCTCAGGTATGTACCCAGAAGCCTCTCATGCCTATCCTTGCACCCTCACATTTGTACATTTGGGTGAGTAGCCACAAGCTTCAGAAGATTGATTGTGTGTCACTCTGCCACTGCCACAGCCAGGTGTTGCTGTTATATTGACCTCATGAGGCTGATCTTCCAAGCGTCATGAGGGAAGGATGGCATCAGTTTGCCAGATAGGGTTCTCTGGGGTGGGATTCCTGGAAGCTTCCATGCTTCTGGCTCTCTCTTATTTTCTGCCCTGTCTGTTCCTGGAGCTGAATTGACATGGTGACTTAAGGGGTCTGGCATGAGCTGTTGTGGCCTTCTTCTGGCCACTTTATGTAACTCTTTGTCAGCCAGACCTAGGCTGTCATAGTGTGCTAAGCAGACAGTGGAAACTGCCCAAACCTGCCTTTGACACAGCCTGTGTCCCTTTCCTGACACTGTATGGCTGCTGTATCTGATTTCCATCGATGTGACAAAATACCTGAAATAAACAACTTGGAGGACAAAATACTTACTTTCACTCACAGTTTCAGAGTTTTTAGTCCATAGTGACCCGGTTTCATGTTTCTGAACCTGTGGTGAGAGTGCATCGTGATGGAGAAAACTGGATATCATGGCAGAGGAAAGCTGGACATCTCATGAGGGCCAGGAAGCAAATCGGGGCACAGGGTCCCAACAAACCCTTCAGAGGGCCTTGCCAGTACACACCTACTTCCTCCAACTAGGCTTCACCTCCTAAAGTTCCATCATTTCCAGTAATATCACTAGCTAGAGACAAGCCTTTAGCACATTAGCTTTAGTGGAACTTAACAGATCTAAACCTAATGGCTTCCTTCTCCTGTTTGGAGGAGTCATATTGTTTCTTATGTTCATATTTGCTCAGTACAGTGTGATCTTTGGGATTGGAGGGCAACAGGTACTTCTCTCTGGGTGCAGAATTTTCTGGTGTTAAAACATTCTGAATGTGGTAGCACATGCTTTTTGTTTTCTTTACACTACTTTCTAGCACGACCATCTCTAGGCCACTGCCCCACCCTCTTGGCCACACACCCATCTGGGGCAGCAGTGTGGCCAACTGAGCTCAGTTACCTGTGCCTTCTTCCAAAGCAGTTAAGGAATCTCACTCTTTGAGGTGTCTGCTCCACTCCATTTTTTTCACTCTACAGGCAAAGCACCCCCAAACCTGCCTCAAGGGGTACCTCCTCTGCTGCACAACCAGTACCTCGTGGGCCCTGGAGGACTGCTTCCTGCCTACCCGGTAAGCACATGGTGGAATTCCTGGCAGGAACTGTTGAAGGGGACCTTGGATTGAGCTGGGGCTGCCCAACTTGGGCTGCTCTTCTCTCCCTGAGCCCTGTCTTTGCCCCTCTTAATTCCTGATGTGTCCTCCACTATCTAGATTCCTCCTGGGCAGGATTGGTTCCCACAGCAGCTGATCCAGGCCCTATTCCTGAGTGTGTCTTATCCCCCCAACCATTTATCCCCTAGATGGGCCTGGGATTCCCAGGGGGATGGCGTGTGGTCCCTTATATATCTTTTCCGGTTCTCATGCAGATTTACGGCTATGATGAGCTCCAGATGCTACAGTCACGGCTGCCTATGGTAAGTAGGAAGGGGCATGGGGAGGCCATGGAGATTCTGACTCTTCTTACATGCCCTTCTTCCCGTGGCCTTGACTGCCACCTTCATTGGACTTCAGGATCCAGGGCCTATGGAACTGCTTTGGCACCACTGCTGAGGAAGTTGTTTCCATTTGGTGATTGGGCCTGATATGGCCATAGCTTTGGCAGATGAATGCCTTGGGGAGCTTGAAGTTCTTTGGGACCTGGGTCCTCAGAAGATCCTTAAAGCCATGGTACAAAACATATAGGTTGCTTACTGAGCCCTGAGTTTTATAAATTCCTCCTCAAAGCACTTTATGGTTCTTTGGACCATGGTGGCCAGTACCTGTGCCTGAGATGGCAGCATCACTCTTCTGCCCTCTGCTGAATGAGTGGCTGGTGCTGATTGTCTGTCTTCTGGGCCTGGCCTTTTATTCCACTCTGGGATCTCCCTGGTTTTTGCAACCACACTGTCAGGCCAGGGCGCCCTCTTTATTCTGACCCAGATAAGAGGATAAAACCCTGGGGCTTCCATGAATAGCCACGGGATCAAGGAGAGAGGGGACAGGGGTGGGAAGTAGTTCGGCTCCTTGCCTTGCCAGCTGGCAGGACTTCCTTCTGGATGGCCACTCTCTTAACCTGGTGTTTCCTGAGGCATCTGTCAGAGACTGTCAGACCCCTGGATGTGGTCTTTCCTGTTCCTAGAGGAGGGGCTTGCTCTCTCCTGTCCTTCCTTAACCACTTACCAGTTTACCCCAAGCCTCACTTGGGCAGCACGTTTGTTTACTGACTATCCTGAGCATCACTCAGGCAGGTGTCATTTCATCCAGTTGGTTCTTGTATTGAATAAATTTGATAAAATTGTCATTTGAATATTTCCTGTATCCTATAAAAATTAATGAAAATATGCAGGTTTTGGTCATCTTGTATTTAAATAATTGGACTGGAAGTGGTTAAGTGTGCCTGTGGGTATGGCAGAGCACCTCCTCTGCCAGGCCAGCAAGAGCTGTGGAGCTGCGGGTGGTACCTGTCCTCTTGAGCTCTTGCTCAGGAGGGAGCGCTTCACTGTAGAGTCTGGCAAGAGACTGAGTGTGAGGCTGGCCGAGGGCCTACTGAGTCTCCAGCAGGCATCTTCCCAGGCAGATGTGACTTCTTTTTCTTAATTTATGCCTTAGAGAAAAATCCTCCCTGGGCCTACATTTGAAATAAGTTGCTTTTAATTTTCCTGTGAGTCGTTTTTTAGCCTTTGCTGCTTTTGTGCCTAATTCCTGCCTTTAGAATTCCTCATTGTCTGTGAATGGGCTCCCCCTTCTGGGGTTGAAATACACCTGTCCACAGTTCTGGTCCCACTAGCTCCATGCAGGTCTCCCAGTCCTGCTCCTCCTAAGGCTCTGGGCTGAGAATACTGTGGGTTTCCTGGAGGTTACCCAGAAATGTGGCCAGAAGAGGGTGTGAATGCCATTTCCAGCCGAGGTGCCTTCTCTCTCTGACCACAGATCTAGGGCTGCCTAAGGGCTTGCTTGCCCTTTGCTCAGACACCAGGTGTGTCTTGTACTGCCAGAACCCAGGATGACGAATAAGGGGCAGGGCAGGGGCACCTTGTCCTTAGAGCTGCGACATGTCTTGCCCTTTGTCTCCACACTGTTTTAACTGCCATTCTTCGCCTGGGTCCTCTGCAGTGTTGCTGTTGCCAAGACAGAAGAGAGTAAGGTAGAGGGCGATTGGGAATCTAGACCTGGGGTCCTGGGCCAGGGCACTGTTCTCTCTCCACCTTTAAACCTTCAAGGCTACCCCTTCCTACTGACAGCTTTTCCAGGTTTCTTCTGTTCACCAACTTTCCTGGCAGCTCTTTAGTCTCACATAGGAAAAGCCAGTAAACTTGGTTCAGCATTAGGCATTTGTCAAGCACCTGCCTGTGGTGTGAAATGGACATGTGAGATTGGTCCTGTAGGGCTCTGCCTGGCAAAGCCCATGGGGTTGATCAGGGCTCCTGAGCTGCACAACCCCAAAGGCACCATTTACCCAGAGCTGTCTGAGTGCTGCCTTTGAGCCATGCAGCCTGTCTGGGAAATGTGCCATTACCCAGAGGGCCTTGTGCCTATGTTGCTTGCTGAGTCTGTCTCCTGAGATGGATGAGACTATTTCTGAACGAGCCTCCTGGTCTTTCACAGGATTACTACGGAATTCCCTTTGCTGCACCCACAGCTCTTGCCAGCCGAGATGGGAGCCTAGCTAATAACCCGTATTCAGGTTGGTCGGCTCAGTGGGTGCAAGTGGGAGGGTGGGAGCCACCCTGTAGCTAACCCCAGGAGAGTGAAAGGCAGATGCAGAAGGACTGAGAGAGAGGTTTTGTAGCTGCTCATGCTTGAGTTGGCAGCCAGACTTGTTACTATGTGTAGGAACCAGTCTGGCCTTTTCCTTGGTTGTATAAGTTTCATTGTTCTTCTCATAGGTGATGTCACAAAGTTTGGCCGAGGTGATTCTGCATCCCCTGCGCCTCCCACCACACTAGCTCAGCCACAGCAGAGCCAGTCCCAGGCCCACCACACAGCCCAGCAGCCCTTTTTGAATCCTGCACTGCCACCTGGCTACAGCTACACTGGTCTCCCCTATTATACCGGCGTACCCAGTGCCTTCCAATATGGGCCCACCATGTTCGTGAGTATTTGTGGGGGCCACAGTTCTTCCCCCTGGCCTTGCATCCCAGGAAGGATGAAACTTGGGAGCAGAAGCAGGGACAGGGGCAGGTCATGGCCCCACTCAGTCTCATCTGGCCTTCAGAACAGTTCAGACTGAGGATGAAGTTACATTCCCCATCTGCTTTTACATCCACCATGTGTTGCAGTAATGACAGTACTGGTCCTCTGGTTGTGGGTGTGTCACCTGCTGTCTCAGGCTAAGGCAGAGGATGTCTGATCTGCTCTGTCTCCTTGCATTACTCTTAGACTAGTACTCACCTGCTTGCCCCACCAGGTCCCTCCCGCCTCAGCCAAGCAGCACGGTGTGAACCTCAGCACCCCCACCACACCTTTTCAGCAGGCCAGTGGCTATGGCCAGCAAAGCTACAGCACAGGTGAGGGTTGCTCCCGGCATGGACAGAGACAGGGCCTAGCAGGCTTGTTAGCTCACACATGTCTCCTGTATGCTGCTATGCTAGGTTATGATGACCTGACCCAGGGGACAGCAGCAGGTGACTACACCAAGGGTGGCTATGCTGGATCATCACAGGCACCAAACAAGTCTGCTGGTTCTGGGCCTAGCAAAGGTAGTGTTTACCCGTCCTTTCTGGCATCAAAACATGGAATTGTCTCCTACTTGATCCTCACAGGCAGGGCCACCTCAGTGTTCCTGGAGCTGGGACAAAATGCTGTGGGGAACAACTAATTGCTTTTCTTCCTAGGAGCATCAGTGTCTTCAGGTGCCACTGGCCTACCTGATATGACTGGTTCTGTCTACAGCAAGACACAGGTAAGGGCGAACAAAGGTGGACAAATAGGTTGGTGGTAGGTAAAGCACAACCTGACCCTCACCATTGTCATCTTTGTCCTGCAGACTTTTGACAAGCAGGGATTTCATGCAGGGACACCTCCACCTTTCACCCTGCCCTCAGCCTTGGGCTCTGCTGGCCCCTTGGCCCCTGGAGCAGCTCCTGGTTATGCACCCCCACCGTTCCTGCACATCCTGCCAGCCCACCAGCAGCCCCATTCACAGCTGCTACACCACCACCTTCCGCAGGATGCCCCGGTGAGTGCAGTGGAGGAGGCGGCCCTCCTGCCTTGGAACATGGGTTTTCTCCAGTCCTGACAGCCTTTTCTCCTCCTCCTCAGAGTGGCTCAGGACAGCGCAGCCAGCCCAGCTCCCTGCAGCCCAAGTCTCAAGCCTCCAAACCCGCATATGGCAACTCTGCATACTGGACAAACTAGACCACTGAGGGGAGGGGTGGGCTTGGGGCAGAGCTTACCCTGGGCAGGAGAAAACACATGGAGCACATTTCTGGGAGCCCAGTGCCCTTTCCTAGATTCTTGAACCTCTGTGGGGAGCCTTCCTCCCAGACTCACTATTGTATGTAATGTATTTATGTATGTATTTGTAAATGTGATAGAAGCCCAGGGCTGCAACTGGCAGCCAAGTCTGCTCTCCCCATCCAGACTTTTCTCACTGTACCAAGCCAGCCTGCACCCCTTCTGCCTTTGGGTCTTTCATATGGTCTCCTGTCTGGTGGCACTGAAGGACTGGCTCAAGGGAGTTTGGGCTTTGGGGTAAGGTACCAATGAATCACAACTTATCTCAGTCCCTTTGTAAACCATAATTTGAGTTTCTTTCCTTTGTAACTACTTTATACCTGTTTTTGAGAAACTGGTCCTTTTGTTAATTGTCATGGTCCCCCTTCCACCAAATCTTGATCTGGGAATAGCAGAGATGATTACCTGCCAAACATGAATCTAGGGTCATGTTTGACCTTACAGAGCCAGGGCTTCTGCATCTGGTCTTGTCCCTAGAGGTTGCCATCCTTTAGCCAACCATTTGAAACAATCAGAACTAGGTCTCAGAAAAATTAAGCCAATTGGCTCCCCTTTAAAAATCAAAGATCTGCTGCTACTTCAGTGCAAGCCCATCTACAAGCAAAAAGGGTCCTCTGTTCCAGTTGTCCTGAACTGGGTGGGCAACTGTTCCAGGGCCTTTCTCTTGCCCAAACTCCACCTAATAAAAAGTTCTGAGAGCATGCATGGTCTGTGTGTGGTGTGGCTCAGCAGTGGCCCCTGAACTTCACAGGGCTAGAGTAGACTTCCCGTGGCCACAGATGTCTGAGAATAAGCCATTTGGGGTTGAACTGCTATTTCCTTCCTTGCTGGACCTTCTCTTGGTCCAAATGATACTGCTGAAAAGACAGCTATACCTCTTCACAGGGCCCAGCCTGTGTTTAACATAGTTAATGTAGTTTTTCTTGCAAGCTGTTAAAAGAGAGCAGTCTCTCACTGGGCCCTGGCAACAGGAATGCCAGGGCAGGATAACTTCTTTTCCAAATCTAGAGTGAAGAAATGAGCAAGAAAACAAAACAAAACTGACCAAGGATTTAGGCCTGAAACATGGATCTAGTACGAAGTTATACCTGCCTCTGGTTTCTTTGCTTTTCATCAACCACACATAACCTTGACCAGCAGTCTGGGGTTGTGGTGGGATAGAGGACGATTAGGTCAGGAAGTTATGAGCCATGTAGTTCCTGCAAATGTTGCCCAAAGCATTAGCCTCTAATTTCAGTTCTACATCACTACTCCAGATCAAGCTAGTAAAATCAGTGCTGCTTGGAGTCAGGTACACGTTGAGTATCTAAATGCGTGGAACCAGAAATATGCCAGGGATCAGAGCATTTCCTATTAGGAATGCTTAACCTATACTGGTCAACTGACTGTCTCAAAACCAGCCCAGGGTCATAGGGTTCACCTTTAATACTTTTACATCTCTGTAGTCAGGAGCACTGATGACTTCAGATGGGATGCATGAAGCTGTTAACTCACAGCTTGGAATCCTAGCTAGTAAAAGGGCCAGTGTCCACAAATCTAAATGTGGGGTTTTATTAATGTGATCTCTTGCTTCATTCCTCGTATTACCAACAGGAAGTAGGGTACACAAATGATAAAATATTTGCCTCCCCAAGAAAGGCAGCAGCAAAGCTTTCAAAGACTGTGTCCTATTTCAGAATTAAGTTTAATAAATGAACATGCCTTCAAGAACCTTCTTTAGAAGCTTATGTGGTTTGGGGATGGTGATTCTCCAGGGAGAGACATGGGCTGGACAGGTCAGAAAGGCACATTAGCCAGTTTTGGGGGTGGTTTTAACTTTCAGTACTGAGCTTAATTTCTAAGCAGTAACACTACCTTTTACTTTTAACATGAGGAAAAAAGAAGAGGGTCACCCCATGGGCAAATAGCAATACAGGTATGTTTTATTTCACATTTTATTAGTAGACAGATGGGCAGAAAAAGACAAAATAAAACACTAAAGGGGATGTCAACACAAAATGCATCAGGTAATTTTTTCTCATAAGTTAAACTGAAGAAAAACATCTACAATTAAAGCTAAGAAAGCTATTAAAGTCAGGTGTGTCCTGCTGGTTTCAAAATAGCTGAAAATTGCATCTGAATCTTTAGTTGTAAATGTAAACCTTTTTGTCAGGATGGGGAGGGTTGAAAATTAATTTCCAGCAAAGACTACATTTTCCCCTTTCAATCTCTTACTATATATGCCCCAAACATAAGAAAACCAGCAAGTAAAGAAGCAAGTAATTGCCAGGAGAAAGACTACAAAAAAGTTTGGCTAGTAGAAGAAAACTCTGGAATGATAAGAAAAGGGGCCGGGGGCAGGGAGACTCTGAGAGAAGCAAAACAGAATCATGATATTTTCTCCATTCAGCCTCAGAATACATGGAACTGAAGAGCAATTCAGTGAGGCTTCAACTAGAATGGAGGAATTGAAAAATGCAGGATTTTAAGTTCATTTCACACCAAATAATCACAACTATACTCACAAGGTTCCAGCATGAGCCTGAGACCTCCATCCACTCCCCCAAAAGGGAAAAAACAAAAACAAACCTTACTCAAGTATTTTCCACAGGATATTTTCTCAGAGACGGAAGCCTGGAACCAGCATCTGGGTTTTATAAGTGAGGCTAAACTATCAGAATACCTGCCACAGTTAAAATATCCCAGTCTCCTGGAACTGATTGTACTTTCATCAGAGGCAAACCCAGCTTCTGATGAAGGGCTGAGAAGTACGACCTTCACTTGGCTCTCTGGCTCCCTGAGTCAACATGCAACAGAGGCCAGTAGGGCCTAATGGGACAGAGCTGAACAGCACAGCACCTCCCACAATGCCAAGGTGCCTGGCCTGCCCTGGGAGTGAGCGAGATGCTTTAGCAGAAAGAATGAAAGGCTTCATTTTAGGGCGCCAAGACAATAAGACCAAGCTATTGGCTGTAAACTTGTGGTTGGGGGGGCTGGAGTGGGGAGGTAAATCAGCATTGTGAAAGGCTTTGGCTCCAGAAGGTTTGCAGGTCATGTGAAAGCATTACTTAAGTGTGGGGAGCAAACAGCTCATTTCAAACTTCTAATTTAAGAGTTTATCTTCACACAGAGCTGCTGTTTCCCGAACCTGTGGAATCGTGTAACAGCAGCCCTAACCCTGTGGAGATTACAGAGATTCTGGGACCAGGCTCAACAGTGTCCCATAAGAACCTTAACATGTTAAACATTCCCATTTAATAACAGACCAAACTTTAGAGGCCAGAGTTGGCTGCTGGGAAATAGCTTAAATTTGGGAGAGTTTGAAGAGCAAATGAAAACCCTGAGATCAGAAAGGAAGGAGGAGCTAAGGAAGTTAAACATCACCTACTCTGACCATCCTAGGATCTGTCCTACCTGTCCCTAATCTGCCCTTTGGTTCTTTCTGAGCTATGATTTGAAGATGATGACACTGGTGTACAGGGATCTTAAGTAGGACTGTAGTCAGTCCTTGCTGTATTTTCCTTCTGAAATCTGATTTTATATTATAGAAGTTTTTCCTGCTCAAAGAACACTATAAACTTGTGCATCCCATTAACAAAAAAAAAATCACCTTCAAATTCTGTAGTCCCTGTATGGTAAAGGCTGCTGGATCTCAGTCTTGATGGAGAGAACACATGACTGAGACCTGGGAATCAAACCTGCAGCAAATGCATGGCCAGAAGATCTAGCCTGGCCTGAAAACTGCCTGTAATCAATATCCTTGGCTCTGCCACAAGAGACAGGCCCAGGGAAGGTTCATGTACAATTTCTGCTTGCACTCTAAATACACTGAAAGGAAAAAAAGTCCAGCTCACATCCAATGAAGCAAGCAGGAACCAGTCACTCAAGTCTCTCACACATCCACATTTATCACTATCTGTATAAGCAGCTCATTGAAAAAAATCTTAACACATGCACCTAGGATTAATACTGAGTAATTAAAAGTGGCTATTTAAATTAAAAAACAAAACAAAATCGCATGTTAAGGGAATATCTTTGAGGGGAGGGCCATGTTAAAACAGATGTTTCCTCTCCCAACAGTGGCCACCAGTAGTTCTGACTTTTTTTCCCTCAGCAGTATCAATCAAAGCTGGTGTGACTTGTTTGTTCTCACTACTAAAAATCCACACACACTAGTTTCTGCTTCCTCCCCATTTGCCCCACCTCCTGGTGGGAGGAAAAAACTTGCCTTTAAAATAAATAGCAACCAAGTGCTCAGTTGTTCTATGGAAAGTATGAATATTTATTTCAGAGTTTAAATCCCAATCAATTAAAAAAAATAAAACAAAAAAATCAAAATCTGATTTCTCTCCTCAAAGCAGCTGAGACCTCCATGTTAGAATTCGTAGAGGCTAAAGGAATACATTTCATCAGGCTTAGCAAGAAGAAAGTCCCTGATGCCCACTGTATCCCAGCCTTGAAGGGAAAGAAACAAAATTCACCACCAAGGGCTGAACAGATGTGCACACACTAATGTAAATGAGCAGCTAAACCATGGCAAATCTGTTTTTTTTTTAAGTTTGTGGGTTATTTTGTTTCCATTTTCTTTTGCTACCCAGTATATGCAGCACTTGTGAACTCCCAATGGGTTCCCAGCTTTAAAACACATTAAATGTCTTAAAAAGACTATTTAATTCTTCAGGAATCTAAAAACAGACCAAACGTGTTTTGCTGTGAACATTTTGTAAAGATGAAGTGAGGCTGGAGCTTGGGGTCTTTTTTAAAAAAAGAATCAATACAGTGATGGAAGGGTAAAGAATGCAAGAATTCAGACATTCTGTAGAGGGTTACTTTCTCTCCATTAAAGGTCCATAAAAAGGAGCAAACTGAGATCCATAAGGGGAGTCAGCAGGAGCTGTGTTTGTTTCCCCACCCCCTGTTGAATAGGTTTTTGCTGAGGGGCCACTGCTAGGTCCCCACTTGCTCCCCTCCCTTTGGCCTGAGACGGCAGGGCAGTACAGGGGCACTGAAGGAGCGCGTCACGACTCCTCATTCCCAGAATCATCATCATCATAACAGTCGGCATCTTCCTCCTCTTCATCTTCATCATCAATGTCGTCATCATACAAGTCGTCATAAAGCAAATCTGAGCTGTTGTCATTGGAAGGCACTTTAGTTTTGATGCAATATTCCGCCAGAGTTGTGGGGACCTTCACTCCATCCTTTTCTGCTTCGGCTTTAGTGGCTGAAACCTGTTTCCTGAAGGGAGGGAGGACGACACAAAAGTAGTTTGTGTTAAGATTTGAAGATGTTTATAATTTGCCTTAATCAAGATTCCTTATCATTTTGCTTTCCAAACTTAAGTACCTGCTTAAAAGCATCTAATGTTAGTTTTAATAGCAACATTTTGGGAGGGAAATAAACTACTAACCTGAAGGGGGTTTAAAGCGGTGACTCTCAAATGTTAGCCAGAAATTAACTCTGTTTTTCCAAGTCATCTTTCCCCCACTGGCCCTCACACCCATGTAGCACTAAAAACTTTTAATAATTTCCTAGTTTACATTCAGGGTAAATTCCAAATACCTAATACTGCATTCCAAAATCTTTGATTTTCTCTTTAGTTCTTTTTTTTGGGTGGGGCGGGGGGGTTACTGGGGATCGAACTTAGGTCCTTGTGCTTTCGATGCAGGTCCCTGTCCTTGCAGAACCACTGAGCTAAATCCCCAGCCCCTCTCTTTGGTTCTTAAAGCCATTGCTTTCTCCAATTCCAACACATTCAGGCTATGTGGTCTTTTTATCCCCTAAATACATCTAGAAGTAGCCTATTCTGTCTGACCAGTTCTTTCCCTGATCTGTCTGACTCCTGGTCACTCAGATCTCAAGTATCAATTTAAAGAAGGCTTGTTTGGATAAGTGAATTATCAGAACTTTGCTGGGGATGAAAACCAGGGCTTGTATCCCAAACCAAGCACCAAGGACACCCTCAGCCCCAAAGACAACCTAATTTAAAGTAGCCACCTACCCACTCTCATTATCCTTCACATTTATCCTTATTACTAGTTTATCCCCCTCTCCTTTATGATCTTTTTTGAATGTTCATTCCTCTCTCTTCCACCATCAGAATGTGAATTCATTAAAGCAGATACCATGGCCTTCTTAGTTACTTCTGGTACCCTAGTGCCTATGATACAATCCAGAATACAACAACCTCTTTTAGTCACTCCTGAAGGTTCTAGGCTTCAGGCTCTGCACTCTGCCTGAAATACAGCACCCATTCCCACGGCTTTAAGCATAACTCCCTGGTCCATGCTGATAGCTCTCAAGCCTCCAGCTCACACTTTCTTCCGAACTACAGACACTTAACCAAATATCTCTTGGGTTTTTTTTTCTTTGGTACCAGAGATCAAACTCGGGACCTTGTGCTTTCAAGGCAGGCGCCGGAACCAGTGAGCTAAATCCCCGGCCCAATCTTTTGGACGTCTCTATGCTGATATTAACTCAGTAAGATTACATTTCCCATTTTCTACCTAATAACCAGTTTATCCCATTTTTCTTTTCTCACACAATAGGCACTGGTTACTATAATCATAAACCTCACTCCAAAATCCTACTGCTTTACAGCTTAAATACATCAGATCTGTAGTCTCATCTTTACTGTCTCAGTTTAGTCCTTTCCACCCAAAACTCAGTTCTAAAACTAAGAACCATCCTCTCTTAATAAGTCTTCAAATCTTAAGACCTAGAGGTTCTTACTAATTTCCCATCACTTCCCAAATTAGAATTTACATTCAAACACTGAAACACTACTTTTAATGCCCCTGATATGACAAGTATGTTTGTTTCTGCCTTGCAAACTCAAGGTCCTGAGTTTGATCCTAGTACTGGGGAAAAAAAAGTTATGTTTCCTTTGAGAGCCCTTCCTTCTCGCTGCTTTTTTATTTTTGGTACTGGGGATCGAACTCGGGACCTTGCACTTGCAAGGGAGGCGGCGGAACCACTGAGCTAAACCCTCCACCGCCGCCCCCGCTGCTGTTTTTTAAAACCTGAAAAATGGTTATAAGGCATTATCTTTTCCTGGGAATTCTAATGCCTTATATATTCCTGTTTGGTCCTTTGCTTATTATTACACATTATATATATGGTCATTTATTTATAAATGCTAAATGTGAAATCCCAAAGGACAAAGGCTGCCTGCCTTAATGACCTAGGAGAGTATCTGGTACAAAATTGGCATATAATAAATGTTGAAAAAAATCTTTAAATAAATTTAGAAATATTCATGCAATTCTTAATCGAACCCTACCTGTCCTTGAACAACAGGCTCCAATCCTGTTTTGTGCAGCATTCCTGGCCTTCAAAACAGGGTTGAGTCCTGCTCTTCCAAATCTCCTTAGGTTCTTCAATTTGCACTAACTGCCTACAGTGATTGGTACATATCAGTCACTGGGGTGGTTGCTAAGTGCAGATACCCAAATTCTCTTTATAATCTAATTAAATAGCTATGGGTCAGGCAAGGTCTAAAGGTGATCACAATGGGTGGAAAGCAGAACTGATTTATATTACTCAGTAGTCATAAAGTGATTTCTCTGCACTGTTTTGTTTTTCCCACATAGTATTTTTGCCAACCAGATTTATGGAGAGTGAGTCTATTTGTATAGAAAGACTCTTATATAAATTCCAGTGGTAACTGAATTCCTATGCACACAATGAATTGGAACTGTACTTGAGGCTCTATTTTAAGGTATAAAAATATATTATTAAGAGAAGTTGGGGCTGGGGATTTAGCTCAGTGGTTCCGGTGCCTCCCTTGCAAGTGCAAGGTCCTGAGTTCAAAAAAAAGAGAAGTTGAACTTTCTGCAAAATTCTTGGGTACTATTAGGAAAACCTTAGGGATGTGATTAAGAAATTAAAAGGCTGAGCCTGATACCTTCTATTTTTTACTTTTACACTGATGGAGAAGCTAGACTGAAAAAGTTAACTAATAAATGGCCATACAAGGAATGGCAGAGCCAATAGATTTCCAAGTCTTCGGGTTCTTATTCTTGGCCTCAGTTATACCATCTTTTAGTGTTGTTAATAATGAGGACATCCAAAAGATATAACTTGCTACTACAGCCAAAAACTGCCAATAAACTACAGTGCTCCATTAATTCAAAATTTTAAAAACAAAAATCATACCTTTCATATACCTAGAATGTCTGGCATACTTTGGGTAGATATGTTTGTTATATTTAATGGACATGCTAAGTCCAGAATAGGGTGCTCAAAATGGCTAGGAAGGGGAATCTGCAAATTTGACTAGCTAAGAACCTGGAAGTTCTGGTTTCTAGGAAAGTAGATCCTTTTCTAATAGGAAGTCTTCTCTCAATAGCCAGCCTCATTAGGTTTAGGCAGAAGTCTCGTCCCACACTATAAACCTAATTAAGAGGAGTTATCCTGAGTGGACAGGATATTTAAGTTTGATTTAAATCCTTGGTTCCACAACACATTTGGGCTTGTATGAAGTAATAAAATACAAAACAAAGTACTTTACCTAATGATTTCAGCATATTCTTTGTCTTTTCCTTTGCTATCCCTCCATTTCCTGAACATAACTGAAGCATCCACATTGGCTGGGGAGAAGGTGTTAGGCTCATTAAGCAGTGAGATTACACTTAACAGGATAGTCCTAAAAACACAGGAAAAAAGGGTCAGCTAAGAACAGCCATATTCACAATACTAAAAAGTATTTTTATGCTTCTTAAGAAAGTACAATTAAAAAAAACCCTACAATCAGATTTTAAGTTTTCTTTCTCTTATTATTGAACTTAGGCCTAGGAAAATTGATCTTCATAAAATTTTGTTTTCAGTACTCGGGTAGGCTAGGAAACAAACTTCTAACTAGGGAATGAAGCAGAGGAAATATCTGAATCTAGCACTGAAGATCATGAATGTTGTAGGACATAAAGTGAACTCTATCGAAGTCACTGCCTCAACTGGGTACCTAAATAATTAAGTGGAGTAGGAAAAAGGAAAGCCTAAACATTTGGCTTTGAGACAAGTTTTTCATGGGGATGGTAAAACACATTATTCTATATATCCAATTTTTATTGTGGCCACTTAGAAGGTCTGAAAACGGTATCACATACATGTCTTCATACAGATAAGGAAAGGGGAATGAAGGAAAAGCAAAGCCTTGACACGGAAGAACTAGCCTCTGGATAAAAGAAACCATGATTCAAAAATTTTACCAAATACTTACTGTATAACAGAGGCACCAAGTGAGATGTTAAATGTACAATGGAGAGCAATTTAGATACCAACCCTAATCTCCAGGCTTATAAATCTGGTATATACATGTACTTTTAATCCAAAAATAAAAATCTGACACTTTAGTCAATCACAGAACATAAAGTTTTGTTGGTTAAAACCCAAGGAGGCACAACTGACTCCAAAATGTTTCCAATCAAGTTTTTTCCCCCCTAAATGCTTTGTACATGTATGTGAGGGGAAAAAATTATATTTCTCTACTTTTTTGTTGTTGTTGTTGATGTGAGGCTATAGACTGTGTTGCAAAACCACCTTTTGCTCCTGGGCCCAACCAAAATATAAAGGGAATGAACCAATTAATTAGAGGTTTGATTTGAAGAAACTTTCCCTGAAAAGGTATAGTTTCTGTTATGTGATTATTCAGAATCCATTTATCTTATACACACCCACACACAGTTCTTCTATGAATTTAAGAATAAACTCTTGGACCTTTCCCCAGAGCTTTCTTGACTTCTTCAGTAATTACATTAACATTATCACTGTCAACAATGGAAAATGAACTGACAACTTAATAAATAAAATATGGGTAGAAAACAACATTTTTTTTTCAAAAGAAAACATACATAAAATCTGTTAGAAAAACAAAATAAGGACAAAATATGGTACACAAGTGGTGGGAAAGACACATACACACAGAGACTAGCAAATAGCAAACCAGCAAGTTGTAATGTTCTAAAGATCTCAGACATGTTTAAAACAAATCAAATAATGCTTAAAAATGAATTTGAGTAGGGCTGGAGATGTAGCTTAATGGAAGATAGCTTGCCTAGTATGTGTAGGGCCCTATGTTCAATCTACAGCACTGAAGAGAAAAACAAGTATTTAAATGAGACAGGATGATATATAACCCAAATGTTAATAATAATGTATTTTGCCCCTTTTCAACCCACAGATGACAGTGAGATGGGTCTACCTTTGTCTTTGCTGCTAGCTACTATGTCACTACAAGTGCAAATTTAGCAAGGAAGAAAAATGGCCATATCCCTGGCTCAAGGGTCTGCCTAGAAATCAAGAAAAGCTTTTTTTTAGAGGGATTGATTCTTTATTTCAAAAAGACATATTAATATTCAATTCAGTATTCAAACAGTTACACTATTGGTTTCTCTTTCTCCCAACTGCCCCCAATAAGACCACACCAAAGGGAATACTTAAGTTAATTAACTGCAGAGTATACACATACCTAACAGACCTCAAAGAAATATCACCAAAAGTGGGGATTGGGTAGGGGAAGAGACTTTCCATACACTAGCCGCCCACTGACTGTAAAGAGTCCTCAAAGCCAGATGTGGAGCGGTGAGGGTGTCCTAACCTCAAAGAAAAAAAGTTTCAAAATACAAAATTTAAAATTTTATACATAAGCTAGTCAGGATTTTTACAGCATTGACACCAAACAAAATGGGACAGCACTTTTAGATGTAGTTTCAGAGACAGAAAAAGGGCAGTGCTTATTTATAAGGCTAAACTGGCACCCAAAATATAATTTTCTTTCAGAGAGGCATGCATGATCCATTCTGAGTGGCTGGAAAGGGGTAGTGACGGCACACATGCTTTATCTCAGGTTTTACCATCTAAGCTTGGTCAGTTCAGAATTTTGCAGGTGTTCAAAAGACTGGTACACACACACACCCCAGTATCTACATACATCCCTCCAGGCAGCATATGACACAGAGCTCATTCTTAAACATTTAAGTTTCCTGTACTCTCATACATTTAGACTTTGGGTTTTACTGGCCTACCACAATTTAGTGAAGTGTGGAGAAGTGAAGCCCAGTTCCCCGGTACCTAAAGTGAATCCCACATACCCTTGCAAACAACTGCAGTGAAACTGGATCCTACCTTGACCTTTGTATTATTCTGAGTCCTTTTAATTTTTCTTTTCCACTATTTCAAAGGGTAGACCCATAACACGGGAAGATGGCCCTGTTAAAGTCCTCATTACCTGTTTCAGCATGGATGAGGGATTTAAAGGACATCAAGATAAAGATGCAATTTATGACTGGGAAAACAGGGCAGCTAATGGCAAAATATAGTAGCTTAATTGGTTCACAAACTTTAGTTTTTCTTTATGCTGCTAAAATAAACAGTTGCTGCTGTGCAGTGCTGTACCTGCTACTGACTGATATATCTGAGAAAGAATGGGGGCCTCAGATTAAAATGGACATAAGTACAAAATTGGAACATTTTAGTTTTAAAAGTAATAAATACACTGTATCACTAGCACATAAATAAAGTTAGGTCAGTGGGACTCAATGTGGAAAAATGAAAGGAACAAATAAAATAACCCTGACCCAGAGTGCAGTCTGAAAAAATGCTAGAACAACAGAGCTACAGGTGTGTTTGGCCTGGCCTTGCCTACCCTGCGACCTTATGTTTGGGGCACTACCTGGCTCTCCGCCCTTTCAGTAGGTTGCAGAAAAGACTACACAAAAAATTCTACCCTACTCCTAAGAAAGACCTTTCTATATCAAACAGTGGCTGCTGGACTGAGTTCATCAATCTGGTCCCACCAAGACCACTTTCATATCCCAGTCTACATCAGGAATAACAAATAGTTCTGGAAATGATACCTCAGGGAAAGCAGGTGTGAGCTGTATGGCAAGGTCTGAGAGATCCCCTCGAAAGGATCTCATTTGGTTATGAACAAAGTATGGATTAAAAGTATGCTTTGTTTCTTCTACAATAAAAAGGCACTGTGTTGTGAACTACTAATGAGACATGTGGCACCACCAGGGTCTCCTATGCTCCCCAAGTCCTCTCCTGCTGATAAATGCATACTCCTTAAAACCTCCCAATTCCAAAGAAACTCTCACCACTTCCCTTTCCCCTCCTCAGTAAGTGTGTGGATCTCTTTCTTCAGAAAGTATGCAGTTTCCCCTAAACGACAGCAAACTATTGAATTTTTATAGCGAACACATTAGCTAGATGATGTTCTGGATCTCTACTATTCTGGCATCTTTTTCTTGCTACTTTCCTTCTCGGCTCTATTCACCAGATCTGGTGATACAGACTGACGTAACTTTTTTAGGGGCAGTGCTGGCACTCAAAATGAGGGCCTTAAGCATGGTAGACAAGCACTCTACCACTGAGCTATATGCATCCCCAGCCTGACTTAGCCTCCTAAAGGTAACTAAATCCCTTATTCTTCTCTAAGCTACAAAAGCCTTTCACATGCAAGTTTATGACCACTGACATGCTCAGTGAAAGACTTTAGTAAAGGTGGTCATGGACAAGGAAGGAGTCCAAACACGTGTGAATATGGAATCACTTTCAGATAACACAATAGGATTATTATCCAGAATCCTTAGACAAGCTGCTAACCCTTGAGAGTTTAAAAGCAAAAGCGTACAGGCAAAAATGTTGCTCGACTGCATTTTTTTTTTTCTTCTGGTACCAGGGATCAAATTCAGGACCTTACACTTTTTTTTTGGTACCAGGGATCGAACTCAGGTCCTTGTGCTTGCGTAGCAGGCAACGAAACCACTGAGCTAAATCCCTAGCCCGGACCTTGCACTTTTGAGGCAGGCGGCAGAACCACTGAGCTAAATCCCCGGCCCTGCAATTTTTCTTTTAGGGAAACAGTACTGGGGCTCAAACCTAAGGCTTTATGTGTGCTAGACAAGCATTCTACCACCAAGCTACAACCTGAGGTGTATCACGTATCTTGCCTCTTATAAGACATGTCAATGCCATAAGTAATATGTAAGAAAATAATCTGCTACCTTAAGTACCCCCATCTCACAAGTAACAGAAACAAAAGCCATCCACACCTACTTATTAGGTCATACTTTTCTGACTTCCACCTCAAGAGTACTAAGTACTACCAAGTATTCCAGGCAAATGAAATGAGGTTCCAAAAAGCATTCTTGCCAGGCATGGTGGTGGACACCTGTAATCCCAGCACTTGGGAGGCTGAAGCAGGAGGATCATTTCGAGTTCGAGGCTAGCCTGAACTATAGAACCTGTCTCAAATTTAAGAAACAAAAAAAAGCATCTCTGGGGCTAGGGATTTGGCTCAGTGGTGCTGCTGCCTGCCTTGCAAGCACAAGGTCCTGAGTTCGATCCCTGGTACCAAAAAATAAAAAAGCATCTCTGAACACTCTATGGACTCTAGAAACTCACAAACACCAGGAAGATCAACACATTGAAGGAAAAGTCTATGATTTACATACACCTAAGACAAAAGATCAAAGAAGGTAAATAATTCCCAGTAAACATACCTTATAGAGCTGTGTGTGAAGACCTGAAAAGTGACTCAAAGATAACCAGTTGTGGTTGTGAAGATGCTAAACCAAAAAGTATAAAAGCAGGGAAGAGATCCCTGTGGTAGTCTGGGGATTGTCTGTAAATCAGGCCTCAAGG